AATAGCTATACGGGTGCAGTTAATGCAACCTATAATTCTAGGAAAATCGTACGTCATAAAAACCTAGTTTTTATAGTAAAAAATTCATTTAACTAATAACTTTGCTTATATTATTCAGTTCTTCAATATTTTGTGGCAATTTTACAAAATTGTAAAAATTTCTGTGTGATACAGAAGAGCTTTGAACCGCAAGCAAATTAACATTTGTAAATAAAACATACATGAATTAATAATTAAATTCTTACACGGTAAGATATAAAAAATATTCATTTAATATCAGTTAAAATCAAAAACTGGATTCTGCCTCTGCAAGTCTAAATCTTTGAAAGAAATTCTCAGCTAATGGACTTCTTTAGTACTGCAAACCATTTTTATAAGAAATTAGATACTTTTGTAGGTATTAATAAATAGTAGTTTACCTAGAATTTGTTAAAATCAATCAATATTATTAATCGTCCTAAAAGTGACATATAAGTGACATTGACTAAATCCTTGAAAACATGCACGTTTTATCAAAAACGTGTGAAAAATTCCGCTCGCTGTAAAACACCCGTTTTAAAAGCGTACACGCTTTTAAAACGAATGTCGAGAATAGCGAATAGCTCGTATGTTGCTAAAGCGTATACGTTTTTTAGAAAACGATAGCCGAGGATAGGGCCCCAGGTCTTGCCATTTTGTGGCGATAGTTGTTTTTTTACTATGATTATTTTCTTCGCGGAGCTCTCACAAAGGCTTTGCGGAGCCCCAGGGCTCCGCGGAGCACACTTTGAGTAACCTGTCATAGAGAAATACTAAATAGTTTTGAAAAAACTATTGAAACCAGTTGTGAAGTTTGAAACGAATAAATTGGCAATGAAGTTGATATTTATTTGATTGTATATTACTCTTTCCACTTCCTAAAAAAAGATTCCCCATGAAACAAGAAATAGTAAACAGTTTATAATAATAACCATTATTTGCTACTTATAACATGTACCAATGACCAAGTCCGATTCTGTTTATTTTCAAATCAATAAAATATGGAGGTCGACAGAATCTTTAAAATTAAATATCTCACCGAAATAAATGTAAGTTTCTCTTATCTCCGTCACATTTCACACTTTTATTATAAATAAAGCTTTTTACAACACATATTAGCATTTTCAACGTTAATTTCCAAAATTTAAGTCACTAAATACCAAATTAATTTTCGTTGACACATTAAATTTGGATGGACAACGCTCTGACATTTGATGTTCTCGACTGTGATTGGTGGGTGTGAATAATTTCGAAATGGGATTATGCGCAGTGTCTTATGTTTCATCTAAGGTTTGTATAATCTAAGTATGTAACACACTACACATTCTCAAGTCTGAGTGGTTTTATAAGGAACTGAAAGACAAATTAAAAGAGGTCAAAGATAATGTCTTTTGACTTTCTGAAGAACAACTTTTATGTTAGAGTATTGTTACTAGTCATTATTAACTAACCTACAATTTTAATCTAAAAATATTATAAACAATTACTTATCTAAGAAGTCCCCATTGTGCTGTCTTAATTGTTTCTATCGGAAAGCATCACAAGTTGACGTGACAATTTATTACACTGTTTTACACTAGCACTAATATTAACGTTTACTGCACTTGCTCAAATGGCTTTTTCCTTTTGGGCCTTTTGTTGAGTAAATAGTTGTCCAGTAATTGCAGCGCTTCTTCGTTGACGTGGAAGTGGAGTCGACCCTCATGTTTTGAAGCAACCCTCTTTATTTCTTCTTTGATTGTTGGCATCTTCAGGTCTCTATGAAGATAGTCGTTTCGATAGAACCAAGGTGCATCAACGATGCATCTTAGGACTTTATTTTGGAAAACTTGTATCATGTTGATATTACTCTAGCTGACACATCCCCATAGCTGTATGTCATAAATCCAGATTGGTTTTATGATTTTTTTATAAATCAGAAGTTTGTTGTACACTGACAATTTGGATTTGCTTTCTAGGAGCCAATACATTTTTTGAATTTAAGTTCAAGTTCTTTACGCTTTTTTTATGTGCTCTTTCCATTTAGGTCTTACATTTAGGTTCATCCCTAGGTATTTGGCCGATTCATGATGCGAAATAACATCATTGTTTATTTTTATTTGTTTTTGTTCATTTGGTCGGAGAGTAAAATCACTATGCACTAATAAGGTTTGATTTATTTTTACTTTCCTATCTGTATACAGATATAAGGAAAGTATAGGAATCATGATTTTTTTCGACCTCGAGTTTTCGACGGATTTTTACGTTTTGAGGTCCCCTGAATCCGTTTTGACTATTTTCGCGATGATGTCTGTGTGTGTGTGTGTGTGTGTGTGTGTGTGTGTGTGTGTGTGTGTGTGTGTGTGTGTGTGTGTGTGTGTGTGTGTGTGTGTGTGTGTGTGTGTGTGTGTGTGTGTGTGTGTGTGTGTGTGTGTGTGTGTGTATGTGTGTGTGTGTGTGTGTGTGTGTGTGTGTGTGTGTGTGTGTGTGTGTGTGTGTGTGTGTGTGTGTCTGTGTGTCTGTGTGTCTGTGTGTCTGTGTGTCTGTGTGTCTGTGTGTGTGTGTGTGTGTGTGTGTGTGTCTGTATAACGCATAACTCATAAACCGATACACAGAAAAACACCAAATTTTAAACTTAAGCTTTGTTTCAGCGTCCAATGAGCTGATTAGATTTTGGGCAGTGTCGGAACATCTGGGGGGGTACTTTATAGGTGGTCATTTTTATATTTTATGGAATATATCTGTTATTTACGTTTGGAGAAGAAAATTCTTCAAATAAAAGTTACTTCTAATATAATTATCTATAATTTTTGTTTTATGCAAAATTTCCCTAAAATGGTCCGTATTCGAGAAATTTGACAAAATGTAAAAAACATAATTTTTTATAAAAATTGTTCAAATAAAAGTTGTTTATAATATAATTCTCTATAATTTTTGTCCTATACATAATTTCTCTAAAATGGACCGTATTCGAGATATTTGAGAAAATGTGTAAATTTCGAAATTTGAAGAAAACTCAAAAACGGATAAAGGAAAAAACATTAAATTTTAAACTTAAGGTTTATTTCGGCCTGACGTGAAATGATTAGATTTTGGACAAAGTCGGAACATCTGGGGGGGTACTTTATGGGAGGCCGTTTTTATATTTTATGGAATATATCTGTTATTTATGTTTGGAGAAGAAAATTGTTCAAATAAAGGTTACTTCTAATATTATTATCTATAATTTTTGCTTTATGTCAAAATTTCCTGAAATGGTCCGTATTCGAGAAATTTGACAAAATGTGCAAAATTCTGATTTTTATGAAAATTGTTGAACTAAAAGTTGTTTGCGATATCGATTTCTATAATTTTTGTTTATACATGATTTTTCTAAAATGGACCATAATGGAAAAGTGCTAAATTTAAATTTTTCTGTATTTTCGTTTTCAATGAATATCTATAGAAAAATGTTTCGAGGTAGATGTATGTGTAAAATGTATATATTTAGTTTATCCTCTAAACATTTATAGAGATGCTGCAATAGGTTCTACAAAATAACCGGCAAATGCCTATAATAACTAGATAGGAAAGTCATGTGTTGGACACATCAGATTTTTATTTTTCACTTTTTTGTCCTTTGATGGATTCTGCTGTAGGTTCCCTGAAGTTTTTCTGAGGTCTCTGTATTAGTTCCGCAAACTGCCAATATTGCAGTGTCATCCGCAAATGTTGCTATTTTAACACATTGTTGTTAAGGGATATCGCTGGTGTATATTAAGTAAAGAACCGGTCCTAGCACACTGCTTTGTGGGACACTATTTTAATTTCTTTCATTTCGGAGTATGCCTCGTCTTGGTTTACTCTAAACTATCTTCCCGTTAGATATGACTGAAGAATGTTTACATATTGTCTAGGGAGCATTTTTAAAGTTTCTGTATTAGGCTAGCGTGCCAAACCTTGTCAAATGCTTGGGCTATGTCAAAAAACTGAGCATATATATTTTTCTTTGTTTTTCGCTGATATCGGCTATCCTGTGTACTTGATCTATTGTCTAGTGTTTTTTTCTAAAACCAAATTTTTAGCGGTACGATTAAAGTATAATGTATTCTAAATCCAATTTTGCTGCTGTCAGTAAGGTGAGATGTAAATTTTTTTTAAAACCCAATATTTTATACTTTTTTGAAATCAGTTAAACGAGGGAAATCCAAAAATGGTTTAGAAAATGGGGGAACTATTTAAAATAATTGAAGGGATAGCAAAAGTGAACGGGTAACATGTTCAGCAAACCTAAATAAAATAGAGGTATTGGAAACTTAAATAAAGTAATAAATAATATTATCTTTTTAACTGAAAATATCGTCTTACCTGTTTATTGTACGTATCCTCATTTTTACTTATCTTTTTACCAATATTTTTATTTACATTTTTACTTATAATTTTATTTATATTTTTTTTAATTTTTGTTTTAAATATTGTTTTATAATTCTCTCATGTGTATGATTTTTTATATACGTTTAAATTTTTCTCTTAGTATTTAGGTATTTTATTAATACTATTTTGTAGCATGTTTTTTTATATCAAAACAAGTGTCTCAACACTTATTGATTAACCTTAATTTCTGGATTTTGTATTTTTTTATACATTTACTGTAATTTATATTTATTGTGGAGATAAAGTTATATATTAATATTATAACTATCCAGCTAATCTATAAACTAGCCAAGTAAACGCTTTTACAGTAACATTCTTATAAATTATGTCCAATCGACTTATTTTGATCTTTTTATTACGTGGTAATTTTCTGTCCCTGAAATTTGAGATATTCTGTAAAAATTTAACCAAGGTGATAATTACACGTTGCCTTTTGACAGAGTTGCAAATTATCTAAATGTAAATTTTAGACAGTGAGTTTACCTAACACACAGACTTGAATTTAAACAATAGTTAATTCTATTTTTTATATCTAAAATGAAATGAACTTTCCATATATCGAACCATCAAAACTTGTTATTTTATTTTAGGTTATTGCAAGATAGGAGGAACCATTTCATTTGCGGCTCAGGAACCATGGTTGTACCCTTCATCAATCAAAAATAACATCCTATTTGGGGAAAAATACAACAAAGCAAGGTACGATGAAGTCCTCAGGATATGCGGATTGGACTACGATTTGAGATACTTACAAAATGGGGATGAAACTATAGTATCTGAAGGTGGAATGAACCTAAGCAAGGGCCAACAAGCTAGAATCAATTTAGCTAGATGTGTCTATAAAGAAAGTGATATGTATCTTTTAGACGATCCATTAACAGCACTTGATGCCACCGTTCAAGATTATATTTTTACTGAATGTATTTGTAAATTTTTGAAAAGCAAAATCGTCCTTTTCATCTCTCAAAATGACAAACATATGAAGGTGGCCGATAATGTGTTTACACTGAGCCAAGGAAAACTAATAAACGAATCTAAACCAACTGTTACAACAGAAGAAAAAGAAGCTGTCATCAAAACCATTTCCAGTGATTTAATTGAAAAGAAGATTTTAGAAAAAGCCGCTATAGCAGAAAGCGACAATCCGTATACTAATGATAATTTATTCCACGAAACACACGAATCGGGTAATATAAAACTCGACGTTTACAAGTCGTATATAAAGTATGGAGGAGGTTACATATTTTTTGGAGCGATTATGTTACTTTATACCGTTTCGCAAGGTGCAAGTCTGCTGACAGAAAAAATATTCGCAAAATGGTAAGGCAGTTAATTCGAATAGTTTTTAATGAACTCAAAACTCACTGGTACAAGGTTTAAACCGTTGGATATTATGTTATACACTAATATGCAAATAGTATCTATAGTGTACAAATAGTACACATAGTATACAAATAGTACACATTCCAGTCACACAGGGTCCATTTGCGTTCACAACCTTCTTCGGTTCACTTGCGCTCTAGAAAAAGGTCAACAAAAATAATGGCCTCATTTACACTCAGATTTGCAGCCCCTTGTCATTACGAGTAATTTTCTCTTTTTAGATTAGTAGGTAGGTTTTTACAATATTAACATTTTACATACATGCATAGTCGTTTTTGTATTTAGGATAACGTGCGTAAACATTTTTCTACATCGCCCATATTAATAATCTTAGAAATAGAAAAATAATAATTTTTTCAGAGTATAACTAAATGTTTAAATAACATTAAATCCTTAAATTATAATATTATAAATAAAAATAAATAAAAGAAATAAAAATGAATAAAAAAAATAAATAAAAATAAATAAAAATAAATGAAAATAAATAAAAATAAATAAAAATAAATAAAAATAAATAAAAATAAATAAAAATAAATAAAAATAAATAAAAATAAATAAAAATAAATAAAAATAAATAAAAATAAATAAAAATAAATAAAAATAAATAAAAATAAATAAAAATAAATAAAAATAAATAAAAATAAATAAAAATAAATAAAAATAAATAAAAATAAATAAAAATAAATAAAAATAAATAAAAATAAATAAAAATAAATAAAAATAAATAAAAATAAATAAAAATAAATAAAAATAAATAAAAATAAATAAAAATAAATAAAAATAAATAAAAATAAATAAAAATAAATAAAAATAAATAAAAATAAATAAAAATAAATAAAAAATAAATAAAAATAAATAAAAATAAATAAAAATAAATAAAAATAAATAAAAATAAATAAAAATAAATAAAAATAAATACAAATAAATAAAAATAAATAAAAATAAATAAAAATAAATAAAAATAAATAAAAATAAATAAAAATAAATAAAAATAAATAAAAATAAATAAAAATAAATAAAAATAAATAAAAATAAATAAAAATAAATAAAAATAAATAAAAATAAATAAAAATAAATAAAAATAAATAAAAATAAATAAAAATAAATAAAAATAAATAAAAAATAAAAATAAATAAAAATAAATAAAAATAAATAAAAATAAATAAAAATAAATAAAAATAAATAAAAATAAATAAAAATAAATAAAAATAAATAAAAATAAATAAAAATAAATAAAAATAAATAAAAATAAATAAAAATAAATAAAAATAAATAAAAATAAATAAAAATAAATAAAAATAAATAAAAATAAATAAAAATAAATAAAAATAAATAAAAATAAATAAAAATAAATAAAAATAAATAAAAATAAATAAAAATAAATAAAAATAAATAAAAATAAATAAAAATAAATAAAAATAAATAAAAATAAATAAAAATAAATAAAAATAAATAAAAATAAATAAAAATAAATAAAAATAAATAAAAATAAATAAAAATAAATAAAAATAAATAAAAATAAATAAAAATAAATAAAAATAAATAAAAATAAATAAAAATAAATAAAAATAAATAAATAAATAATAATAGTGCCTGAAAATGCAGATAAATGCTTTGTGAACATCTTTCATACTATATTTTTTTAAGGACCAAACGTTTTAGAGATTTTAAAATGTATAATATTTTAACAAATATTATATAGGGCCGATATAGAGATAGAGAAGCACCTCTTGGCGACGTTGACAACTACATTAAATCTGAAGGCTGGCTCACGAGCTAGGAGGTGCCTATCATCTTAGGAGGATGCACAATGGTCCTAATGAGTCCTAAGTGCCGTGGAGGTAACCCACCCTCAACACGTTACAGATATAGATACAGATCAGTACTATTAATTTGTAGTGACAATTTAACTTCACACGACAAAATATTTCGACAACTCTCCCACATCGACACAACTTATTTATATAAAAAGGCGAAGGCTCTCAAATGTTCTTTGTCAATTATATAATAAAATACTTTCGCCAAAAGCAGCAATTTAGAGTCATCGAAGATTTTACAAATAGACAATATGTGTAAAGTGTAAAATGTAAAGTGTAAAATTTCAGATGCATATTTAAATTTCAAATATTTTGACTTGATAAGAACTCTTAATTCATATAATACAAAGCAATTAGCAATCCAATAATTTGTAGCGGAGTAGATGTTTATAACTTACCTCCTAAATCACAAACGATCTTTAAACGAAAGGTAAACAGCTGGAAAAATTTTGTATATTACTACATATTTTGCTCAAAATAGTACGTAAATAGTACGTGAATATGTAAATATTATGTAAATAGTAGGTAACGAGTACATAAATAGTACGTAAATAGTACGTAAATAGTACGTAAATAGTACGTAAATAGTACGTAAATAGTACGTAAATAGTACGTAAATAGTACGTAAATAGTACGTAAATAGTACGTAAATAGTACGTAAATAGTACGTAAATAGTACGTAAATAGTACGTAAATAGTACGTAAATAGTACGTAAATAGTACGTAAATAGTACGTAAATAGTACGTAAATAGTACGTAAATAGTACGTAAATAGTACGTAAATAGTACGTAAATAGTACGTAAATAGTACGTAAATAGTACGTAAATAGTACGTAAATAGTACGTAAATAGTACGTAAATAGTACGTAAATAGTACGTAAATAGTACGTAAATAGCACGTAAATAGTACGTAAATAGTACGTAAATAGTACGTAAATAGTACGTAAATAGTACGTAAATAGTACGTAAATAGTACGTAAATAGTACGTAAATAGTACGTAAATAGTACGTAAATAGTACGTAAATAGTACGTAAATAGTACGTAAATAGTACGTTAATAGTACGTAAATAGTACGTAAATGGTACGTAAATAGTACGTAAATAGTACGTAAATAGTACGTAAATAATACGTAAATAGTACGTAAATAGTACGTAAATAGTACGTAAATAGTACATAAATAGTACGTAAATAGTACGTAAATAGTACGTAAATAGTACGTAAATAGTACGTAAATAGTACGTAAATAGTAGGTAAATAGTACGTAAATAGTACGTAAATAGTACGTAAATAGTACATAAATAGTAAATAAAGAGAACGTAAATAATAAATAAAGTACGTAAATAGTACATAACTAGTACGTAAATAATACGTAAATAGTACTTAAATAGTACATAACTAATATGTAAAGAGTACGTAAATAGTACGGAAATAGTACACATATTATGCAAATACTAAAAACAAATGTAGGTTAAAGTACACAAATTGCAAATAAAGAGTACACAAGTAAATGAAAATTTGGTTGATTTGTTAGAAAAAGATAATTTCTCTATCACTTTCTCGGTTACCATCGCTGCAGTGGAAATCCTACACTATTATTACCAAATAGTATACAAATAGCACACAGTAGTAAACATAAACAAATAGTACACAAGATACGAATAGTAGACAACAAAAGTCTAAATCATACCATGAAATTTTGGCATTCACATTTCGGTTTCTCCGACTGTACACCAGCGGTTTAAATGATTAAATGGTGAATATTTTACTAACAATCTCTAAAGATATAAACACTATAAGTACTACGTAACATATACCCTGTACTACAGCAAATGTTTTGTTGTATCATCCGGAGTATATTTCGGCACTATATCCGCAATTTGAAATTTCGCTAACCACTAACGTAATCTTGATAGAAAGTAGGTGTTAAATTCCAATGTCAAGAAACTTTAAGGAGGTGTAAAAAAATCATACGAATGTGAAGTTCAGCCAATAATAGGATAATACAAATTATGATTTTAATTGTTTTTGGGAATGCTTTATATCACTACTTCAATTAAAGATTTCAGCTTGTATCGTCTCATTTTGACTTTTTTTAAATGTTAATGGAAACATTAATTTATAAAAAATTAAATAAAAAAAACTTAAACAAACAGCATATCAATCGTTATACCTACATGAAGGCAACGATTAGTAGGTAGTATTAATAAAAAACAATAATCTATGGACTGTGATGGGTAAAATTAAAGGCTTTATAAGTTATATTGAGACGAATTAAATTAAAAAAATAAAAACAGCTGCCCTACCTGAAGTTAAATAAAAACTTTATAGGAATACTGCCTTCCACTTTTCCAAAATGAAAGTCTTTAAAATAATCTAAACTTTTTCTTTCCAATCTGGCTGTTTAATTAAACTGAAAACATTTTAATTTTGTTTTTTATTTACCAAAGTGTATACAAGAATAACTGTATAATTTAACGTTAATTTATATAAAGCATATTCTTCTGTTTGGGTATTTGTTTTACCACTCCTACCGTTGAATACGCTTACATATATTATAAATTTGTAAACCTAACACGGCGTTGAAAACATGGAATCTTGCTGTTTTTCTAAAGACTGTTCTAGTCATAATATATCCCCTTTAGTTGGCACTAAGTTTGCATTCCTAAATGCGACTGGTCGCTCAACTAACTCGATATGGCGGTAAATTCAAATATAATTTTAAGGTGAAATTTAAATTTCCCCCCAAAATCGTAAATTTCCAGTAGCGGAACGGCGGAAATTAAATATATTCATTCGGCAATAATAATTGAGACATATATTGCCTTGTTCCATTAAACGAGCTGTAAATCCAGGCGCTATTTTTATTTTGATAGCTGAAAATAATACGATTCTTCTATTGTTAGCTATTACAATAAGAGCAGCGTTTGGATTAACAACACATTTAAAAGAACATGTCATTTTACCTGAATCACTTATTTTTTACCTATAGGTTAGATCTGAAAAAATATTGGTTCTGGTAAAAAAAATTGTATAAAATATTTTAATTGAAAAATTATACTTATTTAATTTATTTTAAAGTCGAGGATAACTCTAGCCATATCCATTTTACTGAAAAAAAGAAACTATTAAATGAAATAATTTAGTTATTAAGAGATGTTTGTGATAATACAGTGTCGGCTATCGAATGTTTTACAATACGTTTTGCTAATGTCCAATTGAAAACTACAAAGAGGTAGCATTAGTTCAAAAAGGAATGGAATACTATGAACGTACCCAGCTGGCAACATTCATATTAATCGTTTCCTGATCACACCTAATGCTCTTTAGTTTTTGCTTCGATGCTAGCAAAGCGTATTGGAAAGTGTTCATTAGTCGATACTGTATATAAATTCTAAAATCAACAACTGAAATGAAAATTTTTATTTTAAATGGACACTTTCTTCGAAAAAGGAGAAAAACTGAAACAGTAAATTATTATACTTAAATTTTAAAGGCTGTTGCCACTGAAAACTATTATCTAGGGCTTGGATGACAGCTATAGGACTCCCTTCTTGAATCTTGTCCATAGGAAAGAAAAAGATCTTAGTTAAATTATAATATTAGAGGGTATTAACTGAAAAATATGAAAAATCATTACAACATTACGTCAAAATTGTTATATTTGAATTTTAAAGGCTTTTCCTACTGGAAAAGTATTATCTAGGGCGGGGACCCTTGGATGACAGCCATAGCAATCCCTCCTTGAATCCTCTTTTTCTGAGTTTGTTGTACGTTTTGCTTTCCGTATTAAACAAAGTAAGAACTTAATACAACAACACAAATCACAATAAATATCGCTGAAACAAAATTAATATTAATAAACGGTATAAATTTCGTATGTGGCTCTGCGCCTGGCCGTAGCGTAACTCAAAGCTATTTCTTGAATATCAGTGGCATAACTACAGGGGATATATTGTGATTCTAGTTTCATATTGCGGACACCCGTGTGCCATTTTACCTTGACCCCTCATTGTTTGTCTGCAGAGTGATCAGTATGATATTTATTGGGCCACGGTTGAATACAGTACTTTTTATTTGTATTAGGCATAGCCGTGCTTTCACAGCGAACATGTGGCAACTGGCTGTTGCCCTGCTGTCATGTTATTAACTTTTATACTTGTCGTGTGCCTAATACGAAACCATAATTACTATATATCTAGTAAAATAACCAGAATACTGCACTTATGTGGTTCTTTCGTTCGCTATTGGTGCAGTGTCCACCAGTGTCAATTACAGTACCTTATTTATTTAGTTTACTTAGCTCCTTACTGCTTATACACATGTCGACGAGTGTTATTTACTTCTGCTGAATAGCTGGTGGAGAAAGACACCAGTGGACACCACACAGCCGACCGAAAGGTGTAGTGGATTTTACACTGTGCCAAACGAAAGGTATACTGCCCCTTGGTGTAGTTCATTCCTACATCAGTGGGATTAACTAAAGAACCTATTGTGAATCAACTATGCACCTAAACAATTTTTACAATTTTTAATACAAATTTTAGGGTTGACGTTCAAGCTGAATCAAACAATACAAATCCAGCAAGAGAAAATTCTTACACGAAGCAAGATTACTTAAATTTCTACAGTTTATCCCTGGTTGGTTCTTCAATAATAACATTTATTACGTTGTATTCCTTGTTGAGGTTCACCAGAAATGCTTCATACAGTATGCACAAAGCAATGATATCAAAAGTTACAACTGCCGTTATGGTGTTCTTTGATACTCATTATTTAGGAAACGTAGTCAACAGATTTTCGTATGATCTCAATATAGCCGATGAACGATTACCTTTAATATTTTTACATCTGTTTAGGGTGAGTACAGTCTTATATTATTATACATGACGATGAACGATATTCGACGTCTTTTGAAAAATATATAACAGGTAACCCTTTTAGACATATTTTCAGCATAAGGTTATGTAGGTTCCAATGATCCAATTTTATAAAAAACGCAACAACCAAAGCAAATAAAATACTAGAAAGGTAAATATATTTATTTAATTTAAATAACCTAAATAACACTCCTGCTTAGTTGGTTTGTTATTAACAATCTTGCCAGAATTTGGGTTTTTGACTTCTAAGGTTCTTTATTTTTCTTAGAAGTCCCCAAACAAATCCTAAAATTGTCATTACAAAATAGTGAAAATTATTTTTGAACTGGTGCTGGTGCCTTAGCACATATGTGGAGCAACGGATTAACATTTTCGGGTGCCTAGCCCAGATTTTGACTCGAAAAAGCATATCTTGGGTAATATTTTAAAGTATATTAACGTGCGCACATATCATTTTTACAAAATAAAAATAACATAGCTTTGAATAGTAATTTATTGCACTCTAAACCTTATACAGTAAAATAAAGAACGATATATGAAGGCTAGTCTTCGTTCTGTTTTATTAGCGAAAAGGTCAATCACTTGTCTATTAAAGTTGTCAATGTTATTTGGAAACACTTTTTCAGCTGATAAAATTCCTAGCGCACTTAGTTTTTCTTCTTTCATTGAATTGCGTAAAAAATATTTTATCCTCTTTGACATAGAGAAATATCTTTCAGCTTCGGATGTTGACATAGGTGTTGTCACTAAAACTTCCTGTAATTTAATAGATTTTTGAAAAGTGTACTTCATAGCTTCCTACGAAACTAATGATAACAGAGGAATGACTCCAGAAATGGTTTGCAACTCTTTTTTTTTTGTAAAGTACTTGCAAGGTTAATCTGATGTGCATGCAATGAACATAATTTGCTAAAGAATATTTATCTTTAATTATTTTTTGTACTCCATTAATACGTCTGCTCATCACTGACGCTCCGTCAAAACTCTGCACGATCAACTTATTTGGTGTGTCATTAATTAATGGATTAATTTCATTTAAAATGCAATTTACTATTGAAATGGCATTGTATCCGGGAGGATTTACAAATTTCCAAAATCTTTCTACTCGCTTACTGAAGGCAATTTATCGTAGAATAATGACCAATTGAAATTCGTTAGCAATATTGGTAGTTTCGTCAGCAATTACAGCTACATAATTCGTTTTTTTAATTTCTTTAGCCACTTCTTCATGGTAAACGCCAAGCATGTAGTCCAATAGTTCGTTCCGTATGGTCTTAGAGATCTTTTTAAATACTGTTGCTTCGTTGAATAGTTTTTTTGAATCTGCATCTAATTAAAAACTAAAATCAATCATCAATTCTCGGCACACTCCTTTATTTTTGAATTCTTCGGTTTCATCATGTCCGCGCAATGCTAATTCTAATGCACCACAAAATCTACTACAGTTAATAATAATGTTTAAAATATATTGTTTTTTATCAACTTGTTTATTGTGGGCAATAATATTTTGTCTATAAGCCGAATTTAATTGAGACAGTATATTTGATTTTCCAAGCAAAGAATAACTAAAAATATTATTAACATGGGCTTTACTATTTTCGTGTGTTTTAATTTTCTCATAAATATGTACCAAATCAGATACACCATGCATCGTCCACGAAGAATCGCCCCGGAACAAAACACACACACACACACACACACACACACACACACACACACACACACACACACACACACACACACACACACACACACACACACACACACACACACACACACACACACACACACACACACACACACACACACACACACACACACACACACACACACACACACACACACACACACACACACACACACACACACACACACACACACACACACACACACACACACACACACACACACACACACACACACACACACACACACACACACACACACACACACACACACACACACACACACACACACACACACACACACACACACACACACACACACACACACACACACACACACACACACACACACACACACACACACACACACACACACACACACACACACACACACACACACACACACACACACACACACACACACACACACACACACACACACACACACACACACACACACACACACACACACACACACACACACACACACACACACACACACACACACACACACACACACACACACACACACACACACACACACACACACACACACACACACACACACACACACACACACACACACACACACACACACACACACACACACACACACACACACACACACACACACACACACACACACACACACACACACACACACACACACACACACACACACACACACACACACACACACACACACACACACACACACACACACACACACACACACACACACACACACACACACACACACACACACACACACACACACACACACACACACACACACACACACACACACACACACACACACACACACACACACACACACACACACACACACACACACACACACACACACACACACACAACAACAACAAAAAAACGCGTTTTTTCATCACATCCACAAATCCAGTTATTTTTTAATTACAAATTCCGGTTAAACTTTCTTATTTGGCCTTTGAAGTTTGACGAACTTGAGGTTGAAGCTTTCTGCGTTTTTGTTATTTTCAAATCGGGAAGAGGTCTCATAAGTTCCTTTATTGGAATTTTTTCTTCGAGCGAGTGCGTAAGAAAAAGGTTTCAGTAACAGATTGCTTAATTTATTCATTTTACTTCGGACTCTCGGACGATTTTTAATTTATTATACTTCAAAAACTCATCTAGTCTAACTAACTTACTAACAAACAAAGATTCCGGACGCATAAAATGTCAAAAGCAATACGCCGAACTCGCCAAACACTCGATTGAAACAATACTATTCTAACTATTCATTTCGAGCCGCTTGAAACGTGGCCCCGTTTGAATGTATGAAAAGCGCTTTCTACAAGCAAATGGCGTGACCTTTAGTAAACTTTTACAATGGATTGATATGTAAGCAACCGGGCCACTGGTCGATGTGCTCGGATAGACGGCGGATAGTCAATTGCTTGAATTATTAAATTTGTTGTGTCTACGAATAATACGACGCAGGTTTTTTCAACGGGATCAAATTAAATAATGATAAATAATTTATATAATGTATAGTTTAGTCATAATTTGATCCGACAATTGTAATATTTATTGTAATTAATATAAAAAGAAATATTTTTAGAGACCGAAATATTTACAAATTTTCGCGCCAGTTCCAAAGCCCTTTGGCCCCTTACGACAAGCCGCCACTGCCAAAATGAAAACTAGGATAATAAATTATTTAGAAGTCCCCAAATATATTAATTTTTCTCTTTTTTGGATAAATTGCCAATAAGGATCTATAGCCCTTGTTTTGAGATGTTATGTATAACGAAAACTAAAATGTTATCTGGTAAATTCAGAAAAAGATTCTTTCTAATATAAATTTGAGAATTTCACGAAAATATTATTAACGTTCCCTTTTGGATTACTGGTTTTATCATATACCTACATATATTTTAAAAACACCTTGTATTATTGAATTTGAAATCGGTGAATAGACAGTTTGAATAAATGAATGCCTTCCTCCCTCCAAATGCCTCTCAAACTTGTACATATCCGATTTTTTTCTGATGAGCGCGTACGTCTGTCTGTACATTGTACCACATAAGCCATTTTGTTGTAGTAAACGGCAGGGATCCCAGATGTACTGAGCCTAAATTCGTGAGCTTGATCATGAAAAAATCGTGCGAAATCGTGAGATTGTACTTCACATGCGCAGTTCAGAGAAATACATAAATAGTATTTTCGATTTTTATGGACTTTGTCCGAGCGAAATATCTCTCTAACACATATGATACAGACAAAAAATAATTAACAATAGCACTATTGATATTATCAATAGTATGTTACTGCCGACAACTATCGATTATTTTAAGTAATTATCGATAGTTTAGATTTATATGTTTTTAGTAGTTTTCAAATTCATTTTCACGGAATTCGATCAAAAAAACTTAAATTAAAAATAAACCAAGAATGCACTCAGCAAATTCAGCACTAGATGATAAATATGTTTTAAAACTTGCCCTAACTAATTTTTTAACATACGCCACAAATGCGACTCCTGCCTCCACCTGTTTTTTAGGTCTCTGCGCACCTACTGGTTCTTGTTTTTTTACATTTTTTAATTTTAAATATTCTTTTTGTATTACTTTACTGTACTACGTATCAACCGTTGATTCAATGTTGGTATAGCTTCGATAGAACTATTGATAGTAACTCTTGAGACTATTGGAAAATATCGATATAGAAAGTATCCGACCACTTTCTGGGGACTGTCAATTGTTAGTTTTCCGTCATGTTTCCGCCAGCGTATTAGCACGTTTCAGGGTCGGACTCTACAGCATAATTAAATTATTTGATTAATTAAAAAGAATCGTTTTTACATAAAAACTTAAGCTGCTTTCCTGTAAGCAGCTTGTTAAAAAATATTGTGAAAATCAGGCGCATTATCGTGAGATCGTGAGACTCAGTACTGAATCGTGAGATCTCACGATAAATCGTGAGATCTGGGATCTCTGCTGAATGGACAACACTGTATACTAATTCTACTGAGAGTGCCTAGCGCCGTCTACAGGTCACGACAAACTGACTAAAAATGCAACCATCTATAGGAGGCAGATAAACAACAAAGGCTATTGTTGCAACACGCATGGTATTATATCAAAAGGTAAATAAAAAATAATTTTCAACACTTTAACTTTGATTCTGCTACCTAAAAGAACGTTATTCTTGGACTGGTTTTGCCCTTTTTAGAACTCATCAGCAAGAAATATGCAATATCGACTCCAGACGCTATCTGCTCTTAGAAAGCAGTCGATACTTGATTCGTGTACATGCAACACAATGTATATTCACATGAATTTTAATTTGTAACCTATTGGAACAGATATAACTTTATGTTGAAAATTTGGAGTGATCCACAAACAATATTTCTAAAGTAGGCCATAGAAAAAATGTTTTACTTTTTTAAATGATAGTTTGGAATTAATCCATAGCCGTTCACAGTTGTCATGGAAGTGATTCGTATCTCTGTCTTTATCAGTCATGTCCTATTTTAGAAACATTTTTTGTGAATCAGTAGTTAATTATTACAGCATAGAATATTTGATGATGACAACTTTCTTTTTTTTAGGCAATGTTTAGTTGCATAGGCATAATTGTACTGATAGCAACAGTGAACTGGATATTTATCATACCGTCAACAATATTCATGGTGCTTATATTATTCATGAGACTTTTTTATATTAATACTGGAAGGAATCTAAAAAGAATTGAAGCAGCAAGTAAGAAAAATAAATATACTGTACTACTGTTTCTTTTAAAAAATTTGTTCAGCAATCTTTGGAGTACCTACAATTGATTTACAAAATAAGTTGTAGGTACTACAAGTCTTGTTAACGAAATCCTTGTATCGATTTTTTGATACAATTTTTTTATAGTCTGTTTTCTCCGTTTTCTAAAAATTTATGTCTAGTCAAACCCCTTCCAAAATAAAACTCAGTCTAAAAACCGTCAAATTAGAAGGGATAGATATTGAATGGAAAAAAGAAATAAAATGTCTAGGCCTAAACCAGCAGAACAAATTTCTCAAGAACATGCATGAGAAGGATTTAGTAAATAAGGCAACAAACGCCCTTATAGTATGCAGTAACATTGTGATTAAAATATGGGGATATAACTCGACCATTTTGTGACGGATGCTTACAACAACAGTGAGATGAATTATTACTTATGGGGTTGTAGCTTGGAGCAGGCTAAACTACTTTTGGATGAACATAACCAGAAAAGTTTGGAAGCCTAAATCTGTCTGAGCAAAAACAATCTACACATTGTAGCAGGAATCCTTACGAAGGCATTGCCGATCCAAAGGGCGCGTTAGTAAACTGAGAAGTGAGTGCACATACTATGAAGAGAAACACGCAACATAGTTTTACATTCTGACTAAATGTGTAGCACTCCAGAATTAAATTACATTATACTTAAGAGCATACCAAATAAAAGAGGACGCTAAACCTAACAGGAAACCACTCCAAATCCTACACTTATTTAAAAAGGTAGAATTGGATGGATCGTTATAGGCATCTAGACTATTTCTGTGCTGTATTAGCAAAAAAGGATGCGCAATAAATCTTTTAGGTCGCAGGTCCCATACGCAACCTATCATAACTATAAATAAGCTCGCGTTGATTACGTCCCTGCCCTTTGTACACACCGCCCGTCGCTACTACCGATTGAATGATTTTGAGGTCTTCGGACTGAGCGCGGTGGCGTTTCGGCGTCGTCGATGCTTCGGAAAGATGACCAAACTTGATCATTTAGAGGAAGTAAAAGTCGTAACACACCTTTTACTTCCTCTTAAAAAAAAAGAAGAGGTAGAAGGAAATATTTCGATAGAATTAGTAGAGGTCGCGGATATGATGAAAACATATAAAAAGTGATTAAATATTGTGCTGCGACCCCTTCGGGGACGCTGACGGGATGTTTCGTCCAGAAATCTCTCATACAAAAATTGTCCGAAAAAAAAATGGCAGCCGACAAAAAATCCGTGTGCGTGGTGAGTTAAAAAGTGGCAAAGGGCGTTCAAAAAAAATTATAAAAAAAATATTAGTTTGTAATAAACCGTCGAAAAAGGATAAAGAGATTTTCAAAACGTCATAAAAAAGTGACAGTTGACGGAAGACGAAAAATTCCTTCTGATGAGCCGGCTAGACAAAAAAATGCTTCTGATGAGCCGATTACGATGTCTTGAGCGTCTGCCGTTTATGCATACTCACTTCCATAGTGCACCCAAATCCCGAAAAAGGGACTCGAAGGACGTTTGGACAATTTCCGTGCGATTTTTTACAGTTTCCAATGAAACTGTCAAACAGATTTTGATGTTGATTTTTTTTAAGAAGCGTCTCGTAAGTCCGCACCTTGGGTGCAAGTTTCGTTAAATTCCGTCTATCCGTTCTTAAGATATGATTTTTTAAGTGATTTTGGAAACCCTATTTTAAAATTTTCTCAATAAAAAGAAATATTTCTATCAAAATATTTAACAAGGATCATATTTAGGACAACTTTTAATTAACATTTACGTTAATAGTATTTCCAAATTCTATAAAATTCAGAAACTGTTGATCTATGCTGACAATGTGAAAATGTATCACTAGCTTAAATGTAACGATATTATTTTACAGCCAAATCATATTAAACGAGTTGTTATAATATTTTGTATATAACTAAACAGCGATAACATTCTAGATTTAGTCTGTCATTAAAGAATAGTTATTTTTTTTAGCAAGAAGTCCATTAGTTGGGCATATAAACAGTACCATGGACGGTTTGTCGACAATTCGAGCTTTTGACGCAGAAAAAAGACTATCAGACGAATTTTACAGGCACCAAGATTTATATTCTTCAGCAATTCTAACAATGAAAGTCAGTCAAGCTGCTTTTAATTTTTTTATGGGCGTGCTAAGCGCAAGTTTTACCTCATTGATCATCGCAAAATATCTGTTTTTCGAAGAAGGTAAGCAATATTTTTTGTTTTATAAAGTAACACGAAGTAGATTTAAAATCAGACATACAGTCACCTCTGTTGGATTAGACTATATACACAAAATATAGATTAAAACGGTCGATTCCTATGCTCCGTCCATTGCCTATTTTAAATGAAAATAATATTTTAAATAACTTTTTTAATACACAATCTTACTTAATCCAGTATTTCAAGAGCGTTATTTAGGAACTTTTATCCTCTTCAAACCATTTATTTAAGGCATAACATCATTGTCGCTTAAAAATTATCTTGCTAGGAGCTAAAACTGGCGAATAAAGTGGATGTTTTCCCAAACGTAAATTATGAATTTTTCCAATACGTCAAAATTACGATTTTTTTAAAGACAATAAAAATTAAATTCATTTCCCCACCGAAACGAGCCGCTTGTGACTATATTAAAAAAGTCATATTTATGAAATTTGATTTAATAGATTCCAAGATTCCAATTATACTATTTAACAAAAATCCGTTTTGAAGTTATTTTAATTAAAACGTTCTTAGAGCACCCCCTTTAAAGAGCTCTAGCCACTTAGGAAATATCTGACTATATCAAAAGAGTTCAAATTAAGAATTATCGCATGGAATAAAACTATTATTAGGAAAATAAATAATTAAAAAAAACAAACAAGAAAAAATAAATCTGCTGAAATATAAAACTATTTTTCTTTCCGTCGATGCTGCTCCAGGTGCCAAAAGCCCACAATTTGCATGTAGTGGGTTAAATCCAACCTTCTTTGACTGGCAGGTTTGAATATAGCTCCCCACAAATCAAGCACCCTATATCACAATCATCATCCGAACTTTTGTTTGATTTTTTTCTGGCTTTTCCTCGAACACAGCTTGTTGCTGTTTCTTAATTTTAGCCTCGAATTCTTCTTTGTACTGGCTGCAGGTAAAATAACAGTTTTACCAGACTTTTTTGCAGTCTTCCTCGGTATTGAGATTTGAGGAATAGGTTGAATGTTAAAAGGACTTGTTAAAGGAAAACTTATTTTTTGTTCTGGAACTAATTCGCATTTTGTACTTAAATTTCATGATTACTAGTACCTAGTATCATTGAAATATTAAAATTAGAAAATTTCTGGTAGTCGTTTTAAACCACTTTTTTTCGGTTTCTTTATGACCACCTCTGTATTTGATCTTTCTTCGTTAGATCCCTCTTCTGTATTAAGTTCCTCTTCTATATTTGGTGTTTTTTTGCATTAGCTCCCTCTCTTGCATTAGCTCCCTTTTTTGCATTAGATTCTTCTGCTGTATTATATTTTTTATCTATATTGGCTTTGTTTTCATCGTTAACTTCACAAAGGAAAGGATGAAAATAGAATTAAAACCTCCAGAGCTCTTAAACCGAAAATTAAACTTCACAACAGAGGTGAAGTACTAGGTCTTACCTTTGATAGCAAGTTAACATGGAACTTACACTTAGAAAAGACAGTCAAACGAGCATACATTGCTTATAAATAATGCTGCCAAACAGTGAGGCAGATCTGCGATTTCTCCTCCAGAGTCGTCGCATGGACTTACACGGCAATCATAAGACCTATGCTAACATCTGGTGAAAGTGTATGGGTACGGAAATCCATAAATTGACAGCTATTCGCAAACTAGAATAAATTCAAAGAGCAGCATGTCTCAATTTAATAGGAACCATAAAACCACACCAACCAGAGCTATGGAAGTATTTCTTAGTCTCACTCCCCTTGATATTTATATCTAGTAGGTTGATTTTATGACAATGACGTCTACGCACGGTTGGAATAGAATCTGATGTAGGATATGGTAAGGCGAGACGTCGCTTTTGGCAGGAGACGCTCGATACGCTTTCATAGCTTTAAGCGAACTTGAACTCGAACTCACCTAGATATACATTCCATTAGCCATATAAAGTTACCTATATCAAAACAAATAGAAGAGTCGGAAGTGGTGGGTAGGATTCATACCTTCATCGACGGTTCTAAAACAAAACAAGGCTCATGATGTGGAGTGTAGTTTAAACCGAGCTCATATCCAAATCATAAGGTTGTCAGAATCCGCATTCTGCGGGGGGTGCGAACAAGATGATAAGACCATCCAGCATACCATCTATGATTGCCCGACGTTCCCATTTATTAGAATATTTGTATTCGGCGAGTATCGACTTACACCAAACGATAATAGAGAAGCACATCTTGGCGACGTTGTTAATTGCAATAAATCTATAGGCTGGCTCACGAGCTAGGAGGTGCCTATTATCTTAGAAAGATGCATAGTGGACCTAGTGAGGCCTTAGTGCCGCGGGGTAACCTACCCTCCATACGTACAATTTCGTTTTTTAAACTAATAATGGCATTTTCAGGTGTGCACCCTCTTTAACAGGATCCGCTGCTGTTTGTTTTGTATGATATAAGGAATGATTGAACGACAATGTGAAAACTTCAACTTTAATCCAAGCTGTTTCATTATATGCGAAGATTGATCCTGGAGGGACACCGTCTTTTAATTCCTCCTTCATTCTCATGTGTGAAAATATAAGTAATGGTAAAATAAAGTTACCTCCGATAAAAGCACAAATTACAGCAGTAGTTAAAACTGCAGATGTAATACGGGAGACTTGTTTACGTTCCTTTTGACCCAAAATTCTCGAATTTTGTCCTGGAACGGTATTTAAAGACATCACATCGATGTTAAAGATTATTTGTACATTCATTTCCACTATTTCAAGCTATAAAAGCATGTACAATTTTTGGACCACAGGATTATTAACTCCTCTGGCTCTACCTGATGAAGTAGATATAAAACCTATTAAACTCAATTTAGGATGCCTTTTTGTTAAACTCGCAAGCCAGTCTTCTTCGGCTGCTTGTTTCATTTTTGAAGTAGACAAGAGATTATCATGTCCGATAGCGAAGCAATCATCAAAAATGCCTAGAAAAATTGAATGAGCTAGGCGACAAAAATACAGTTACTCACTTGGGTCCCGGGACATAGTAACAAGATTGCAGATAATCTCGCAAGAAAAGGGGCTCAGACACCCTTTTTGGGACCTTAACTATTCGGCGGTATCAGCAATAATATAAGAACCAATAATTGGAACAATCTCTTAGGACTAAGACAGGCTAAGATACATCTGGGTGAATATAACCACAAAAGATCGGAAATCTGCATCTACCTGAGCAAGAACAGGCTACGAATTGGAACAGGGATCCTTACTGGGCATTTCCGACTAAAAGGGCACTTCAGTAAACTCAAAGTAGTCGAAGAAAGTGCGATTCTGTGAAGAGTAGGACGAAACCTTTATTCACATTTTGATTGAATGTGTAGTATGGCAGAATTTAAAAGCATTATACATACGAGCATATCAAATAAAAGCCACTCCAAATCCTACACTTCCTTGAGAAGATAGGAAATGTCCTTGCTGTATTAGCGATAGAAGGGGACACAATAGATCTTTTAGGTCGAAGTGTATTAAAACCCCATTTCCAACATAACATTTATTTTTCAAAAATGTAAGTTTTATAATATTTCTTTCGGCCAGTTGATAGGCCGGAAAACGGAATTCACTTGAAGTTATTCCAGATATAAATACATACGCACCTCCATATTTAGAAAATGTTTCAACAATTCGTTTTTCTGGTCTGCTATAAAGACTTTTTGAAACCAGGCGAACTTTTTTTGGAATGACAATTTGTATTTTTAAGTCGGAGTTTTAATGTCATAATGGGCGAAATCAGAGGCAGCTGCTTTCTTAAAAGCCATTTGTTTTACAGCTTGCAATGCTCTGTTCATTGCTTGGATAATCTAGGCCTTTGATCATTTCTGTAAATAAAATTAAATATTTTGAGAAAAACGCATCCATGGGGCAGAATGATGCTTCGCCCTATTTTCGCGTTATGTATTCAATGTATTTTAACCTCCAAAGAAAACTAATCTACTTTATGTCCCTTGGTACATTCTTTTGTTGGAGTAATACATTGTTACCATATTTATTTTTAGAATATTAAAGGAAATTACGAGGATAGTTTACAAATTATTGTCCCTAACATAGAAGCAAACACATGAGAAAAATGAAAATAATTAATTTTTTAACATAGTCACTTGCAACGTTTATACACTTGGTTTATCGGTGTTAAAGTGTTTCAAACCTTTTTGAGTCTCCAGTCATTCATCTTCCGCCGACATTACTTCCTTATCATTAGCAAAGCGGATTCCGCGAAGATGTTCTTCTAATTTTAGGAATAGATAGTAGCAGCTAGGAGCCAATTTTGGAGATTACGGGTGTTGTTCAGAAATTTTAAATCCTGCATTGTAAATGGCAGCCATTGCAATACAACTTGTGTGGGTCGGAGCATTGTCCTGGTAAAAGAGCATACCTTGACTAAATTTTCCTCTTCTCTTTTCTCTGATCGCTTGTCGTAGGTACTTTTGGTATTAAATTCGCATAATATTCACCTGTTGTAGTGCGCCCACGATGTAATAATTCACAAAAATAACACCTTCAAAATACCAAAAAAACGTAGCCATATTCTTACCAGCTGATGGGACAACGCGAAATTTTCGAGGCTGAGGGGAACCCCTATGCCGCCATAACATGCTTTGTTGTTTGGATTCTGGATCAAAGTGATGAACCCATGTTTCGTCGATCGTAAGAAATTTTTGCTTAACCCTCCATTAAGCACGTGGATTCAACTCACGCGGTTAGGCGCGTGGAGTACAATAGTAATCCAATTTATTTGACTCCTGCTATGTTTTATTTGAAAAAATATGTATATATTTTTTTGTATAAGTATATTTATGTTAGTTTATTACCATAAAATATATTTACACATACATTTTACCTTAATTTAATGATAGGAAAATTGAAAGAGGTATACACGTGTTTTTTAGGCGTTTAATTACAGGTTCATTAAAAATTGTTACAAACATAAAAATTTTAAAGAAAAAAACAAAACTATATATTTTTTCTTTTTAAAGAACAAACTTATACTTACATAAACTGAACAGTAAAAAAATATTTAAAAAACTAAACGAAAAAATACAAGTCAAATGTGGACTATTTTTTAGTCTAAAAAACATGCGGTGCACTCATCTCTCATGTGGTCTTTGAATGCATGCTTGAAACATTTTTGACAAATTTTTCTTGTCGATTTATTACGATTTCTGTAGCAAATGTAGCAACGACGAATGTAATTTGCAGACATATCGGGTGGGGAAGGGGGTAAGATATCTTCGAGTCCAAGTAGGTGCCGAACTCGATGCCGAAGTTCTTTTGGTATGCTGGAAATATTTGACCTATGTTCAATTTTGGGTTTTATTAGGTCCCAAGAAAACTTTTTAATAAAACCAGATCTTAAAACTTTTTTTCGGGTTAGTTAGCTTTATAAACGCAGATAGCATTAATTCCACTTATATTTAGTAAGTTGTAAAATATTACCATAGGCCATCGATTTGTTGTTCTCGCTACATTGTATTTTTTGAAAATCTGATCTACTAAGTCTACACTTTCGTCTTGTTGTAGCAGGTTATTATTTTGAGCAATTTCTTGTCGTCTGTATCTAAGTCAATCGAATTATCTTGGTGCATTAAAGAAATAAGTATAACGCTTTTTTTTTGGACAATATGAAACCATGGTGTACTTTTCCTGAAAGCCAAATAATATAGTATTTTCTTCTCTGTCCTTTTTTGGCGTTTATTTTTTCACATAGTGCCAACATATGTAAGATTATTTTCCTCCCATAATTTTCTTACAAGCGGTATACTGGTGAACCAATTGTCAGCAGTTATGTTACGATTTGTCCCTTCTACAGGGTGCACCAATCGGAGAACAATTAACACTGGGGAATTACTGAGCTTGTATGGTCCATCAAATATAGTTCTCATGTTCGTACAGCCAAAATTTCAAACCGCAGACTAGGCAAAAAAAGTAACATGATTAGGCGCGTGGAGTACAACGGTACTCCAGTCGTCTTTGACAGCCGCTAATTTAGACAAGAGCATTCCTTGCCTCTTTATTTTATACTAAGGAGGTAGTTGGGTGTACTATCGACAGCTACTCAAGCGGGCGATTCCACCCACAAGCCTCTTTTTAATTGGTCACTGTTCAAAGGGGCGTGGATTACATATGTAGTCACCTAATACTTCTACCATGTCCTCATAAATTTCTTGTGATGATAACCTCTTTTTACAGAGGTACTTTATCGCACCTCTTATCCCAATTTTGTCAATTTTTATAAAATCACGAACACCTTAATGAAAAAAAAAAAAAAATAATATGCAACATACACGAACTGATGCGCTGATGCCAATTGGTACACACTAATGTCAAACAGGGATACTAGTATACAAATATTTATAGAATCTTTAATAAAATGTTTTTAGATTATTACCTACTCTAAATATTTTTAATGTGACTTTTTCATAAAAAATTATTTAAAACAAAACCACTCGTCGAATTAAATTTTATGTATTAAATTTTGAGTTTTCGTGGAAACTAAAATTTTTATTAATAATAATTTTTACGATTTTTTTTAAGCTTCCACAGACGTACATAAACTAAAAATGTGCGGATTCACTATAAACTGCATTAATATCTAAATTTGAATAGTATTATATTGTCAATGTGTCAAACTGCCAAAAATTTAAATTTGATAGAATACTGTAAATAGGTCAGAGTGGATCATGAGGACCAACCCTCGTATAAACCTAAAAAAATATTAACAATGGAGTAGCCATGTGTGTAATGAGAGTAATTTAGAGAAGAAAATATGAGATAGTCCTTTAAATCTCACTATATATTATTTTATATTTCAGAAACAACTGCTGGTAATGTTGGATTAGTCCTTACAAATGTTCTGAGAATTTCCGATTTGGTATCATGGGGCGTGTATGAATGGATAGAACTAGAAACCAACATGACTTCAGTAGAAAGGTGTATAGAATACACTAATCTAAACCAAGAAAATCAAACGGGAACCCACGTAGACAACTGGCCGAAATCCGGAGAAATCGTATATAAACAAGTCGAATTGAAATATAACGGTGAAAAAATCCCCGTTTTGAAAAATATCAATATTACCGTACGGCCGAAGCAAAATATTGGTATTGTTGGAAGAACTGGTGCTGGTAAATCTTCCATCATTTCCACGCTGTTTAGGTTGTACGAGTTTGATGGAAACATTGAAATAGACGGAGAAGATACCAAGAAATTATCTCTACGTTTCCTAAGGTGAGTAGAAAGTTTCTTCAAAAAGTATAGTAAAAAGTAAAGATATTCTTTCTCGGCATAACAAAGGGACTCGTATGTCAAGCTTTAATTTAAGATTAATGTACATTTCAAGTGGAATGTTATACGCATCTAAAAATTATTACAATATTCGCATAATTTCTGTTGTGAACGGCCAAAAACTGCTACTCGCTGTTCCTCGTTCACCAGGTTCTTTTTCATAAATAAAAATTGTATAATCACAGAAGAAACTTGGAAGGAACGTATATTGACTTTCACTACAAAAATTATCAGTCAAAATTGACAACTTATTAAAATTATATACAGCATGTCTCCAACATCCTATCACCTTGGGGGCATTAACAATGCAACTCAACAATAAAGACGTGCTGGATACATTACAAAGAATAATAAAAGTTCACATATTAGCGATAAATCGATCGGGTTATTTAACTACTCTACTCCGTTTTGTGACCTAGACATTATCAGGTATACTGTTTTCGATGTCCTTGCTAACACCAGCCACTCCCGTACTATCGCTTGTAGAGTCTTCCGATGAGATCTGACCTTGTTTCCTGAGCTCATCCACCGCCTGATGTTCTCACCTACATAGCTTGTCAGATTCCCGGAAACTAACATCAAAATCTGATTTTTGAGCACATTCGAGAGGATATAACCTTTGCAGTGGTCGAAGTAGTTGGCCTCTTGAAGTGCTAACCCGTGCTAAGCGAACTTCGTTATCTCTGCCTTCGATCAATTCTATAATTCGACCAAATGGCCAATTTAACCGTTTATCATAGTCATTGCCTACTAGAACAACGTCGCCAACCTGTAATTTTGTATCTGATTTTTTCTTTTTCTGAAAGACTTGCAGTTGAGCTAAATATTCGCTTCTGAATCTCTTCCTAAGATCTTATCTTAATTTCTGTTTATGTTTTAATTTGCGACATGCTGATGATCGGTCAATTAGACCGCAGTCTGGCACACCAACTTCAGCTTGGTCGCGTAAAAACATCCCAGGGGTGAAGGGGGCTAAATCAGTAGAGTCGGCAGATACATATGTGATTGGTCTAGCATTAATTATAGCTTCACATTCACATATATGTAACAGTCCACAAATCCTCGTAACTGAGAGATGCTTTTCCTAAAACTTTACGCAATAAACCTTTTAAAACTCCGATTAGACGTTCCCAAAATCCACCCCACCATACCGCTGTGGGTGGGTTTAGCCACCATTGTGCTAAAGAAAAGATTGCAATGCCTTCCCAATTAAGTTTACTGAATGCGTTCTCGGTACCGACGAAATTTGTGCCGTTGTCACTGTAAATTATTTTTGGGCGTCCACGTCTAGCGACAAACCGACGAAGGGACTGTATAAAACTCACCGTAGATAATGATCCAACGAGTTCTAAATGTATCGCAACGATACACGGTACACGTGAATAAAGAAACCCATACCTTTTCGCCTGATTTTAGGTGTAAAGGCCCCGCAAAGTCGACCCCGGCAACTTCGAACGTAACTGTGTCTCGACCCGATCAAATGGTAACGGAGGCGTTACCACTTGAAGAGGTTTAGACTTGTATCTCCTATAAATTCTACATTTGGTAATCACCGACCGAATAAAACGTCTGCCGCCAATAATCCAAAACCGCTCACGAAGAATACCTAACAGCCCTTCTATACCTACGTGGCAAGAATTATTATAATAGTGTAATATTAACTGACTAAGGGTCGGTTTTTCAATGTCCAGTCAAAGTGGCTGTTACGTAGCCGACAGCTATATTTAGCTGGCAGTCAAAGTCCCTGTTACCGATGGAATATGGATGGAAGTGTTTTTCATCACGAATTTAACTGCTAGCTACGTAGTCTAATAGTTTTTATTTATTCTTAGACAGGTTGGCATTTCTGCTAATTTGTTAAATGGTTTTTATTGGATAATTTAAATTTTCCGTTTTACATATCGTGTCTTGTGTTGATCGTCACCGACCTTCACATAAAAATTGTTCTATTTTGCTTCCATTTTTCTTTAAGATCTTGTTTTTTTCTGTTTTTGGGCAATTGGTGATTTAGAAAAAAGAGAAAATATCTAATTACTCGGAATCAGATAGAGCCCTACTATTGAAATTTGGTTATCTTACAAAACGTAAAAAAAAACGGAAAATGCAATATCACGGAAACGAAATGAGAAGGTTGCAGAAAAATCTAAAATTTAATAATTCGGCATCAACTGCTTTGGTTATTAGCCTCGTGTTCTGTGTAGGCTTTGTTACTGTTTCCCAGCGCCACTTTAGGAACAGCACTGTTAATTAGTACCCAACAGTGAATGGTAGGATTTCCCACTCGACTATTTACTGTTGGGTACTAATTAACAGTGTTGTTCCTAAAGTGGCGCTGGGAAACAGTTACAAAGTCTACACAGAACACGAGGCTAATAACCATAGCAGTTGATGCCGATGACACAAAAAACAAAAAAAAAATAAAATTCAGTTCATCGATATCGAAATAAATGGGCCGTTCCCTTACAACACACGGATTACACGGTCATCATTGATTAATATTCAATAATTTAAATAATTTATTTTTTGGCATCGTCGCTGTGAATATATTCAAAGAAACCCATTTTTCAGAAATAAATAAAAATATTAACCTCTAAATTTAACAAACATCGTCTTACGCATGTACAATAAATAGCTGGCGGCTATCTGTACGAAATTACCACTTGCAAGTGTCGGTTATGGTTACAGTCAAAATAGCTGACGGCTATCGTATAACTGGAGGTCGATAAACGTTTTGACAGGCAGTGGCTGACGGCTATCTCCGTAGCTGCCAGCTATCCTAAATAGCCGGAGATTGAAAAACCGGACCTAACTATCGGATGTTTCCCGGGTAAAACTATTGGAAAACGAAAGTCTAACGTGTCATTCCGAGAACTGATTCGAGTTTTAACTCGGATTAAACCTAAATCATCAGTGATCGTATGTAAATCGGATAAACGTTTGTCAGTTAATGTGTCAAACGATTTAATCTGTACGATTTGTATTATCCATAGTTCAGCTTTGTCAACTTCTTCAGCAGTCAGTGGACCTTGCAGTTTTGTATTGATATTTCTTATATTAAAAAGCAATCATTCGCGTGGTTTTACTATATTGCCAAAAATATGTTGTATGCCAGTAGTCTGATTTGCAGAAAGCTAATGAATAATGAACCTTTTTCTTTTTCTCCAAAGCAATGACAGATTCGTCGCATTTAATCTCCTCTGTAGGCCATGAATTAGGTTTTCCATATAGCCACTTGGGCCCCTTCCACCATCGGGATTCTAATAAAGACCGAGCATCACAACCCCGAGATAGCAAATCTGCCGGGTTAAGGGATCCAGGGATATGTCTCCAAGAATCACTATCTGTTAAACCTTTTATTTCTGTAACACGATTCCAAACAAAAATTCCCCACTCTTCTTTATGTTTAATCCAAGCTAATACCGTGGAAGAATCACTCCAGAAATAAGATTGTACCGATTGATTAAACTGTTTGTTGATTGTTCCATACAATCTGACCCCAATAGTTGCAGCTAAGAGCTCTAAACGTGGAACAGACATTTTATGAATGGTTGTTACACGAGATTTAGCTGCTAACAAAAACACTCGGCATTTTCCATCGCTAATAACTCTTAGAAAAATGCAAGTGGAATAAGCTTTTTGACTTGCATCGCAAAAAGTATGAAGACTCCAATGAGTCGCTTCGAATATTCCACCAAAGAGCCACCTAGGAATTTTAATTTTGCATAAAATATCTAGTTCTTTGATCCATGACATAAACCTAGCTACCATTTCATCACCTACTTGTGAATCCCAACTAATTTTTTGTTCCCACGTTTCCTGCAGCAATAGTTTAAGTAAAAGTAAAACAGGTGAAGTAAACCCTATTGGATCAAATATTTTTTGTGCAATTGACAATATGTCTCTTAGTAATATTTTCACTCCGAATATCAGCTACTCCTTTTAAACACTCCTCATTAATGCATAATGTATCATCTTTTGTATTGCAAACTAGACCAAGCACCGGAGTTGTATCAGACGTAGAACCAACGATATGTTCAGACTGTGTATACTCCCACCCTATAAGATCAACTTTGCCTTCGATCATTACAGAAGTGCCCACATCGATGAATTTTTTTAAGTCAGCATAATTTGAAACACTAGTGACACAATTGTCTACATAAAAGCTGTTTCCTAATTGCTGAATTATTTCATCTGAATGGTTTGGATCATAAGTTAATAATTTAATTTTCTCTGCAAGGCGGTAATTTATTGTAGCTCCTAGCAAGTATGGACTACTGTTAACACCAAATACCACTCTTCGATGGCGGTAAATCTTTGTGTTGCCTTCATAATTAATCCATAAACATCTAAGATAATCTCTATCTGTCTCATGCAAACCAATTTGAAGAAATGCCTTACGAATATTAAGATAGAAGGAATTATTTCTAGAAGATTAGGTTCCTTTTCAAGGCAGTGATTCAACGAAGGTTTACCTTTTTCGTGAGACGAGGCGTCAAACACCGGCCGGATTTTAGTAGTTAAACTACTCTCTTTAATCACAGGGTGATGTGGCAAATAATGGGTAGCATTATTTGGAGTACTTTCTGATATTTCCTTTATAATGCCTTCTTTTTCCCATTCTTTAAATACAAGATCATAAGCTCCCACAATTTGAGAACTTCCTAACTTTTTAAGAGTGCTCTCTAGCCTCTTTTTAGCAAGATTAAAATTACTTGGTAGTAAAGGATGCCCATCTATCCAAGGTAACCGAACTTCGTACCGGCCTTCAGTATCCGTTCTAATGGTTTGTATAAAAAATTCCTGTGTCGCTCCAATTCTTCCCTGGATTTTCTTTGCGTCGGTTCAGTAATGCCAAGAGCGTCTAATCTCCACAAATCAGCTACTGAAGTATCATTTACGAATAAATAAAAGACAGATATTGTTGTACTGCTATTTGGAAAATT